AAGAAACACCAGCTGGTGGAGCCCTCCAAGAACCTCCAGGAGAACATCTGCTCTCATCATGATGAGGTGATGAAGATGTTCTGTTGCACTGATCAGCAGCTGATCTGTTATCTCTGCTCTGTGGATGAACATAAAGGCCATGAAACAGTGTCAGCTGCAGCAGAAAGGAAGCAGAAGCAGAAAGAGTTGGAGGAGGGTCGACTGAACATCCATCAGAGACTCCAGGACAGAGAGAAAGATGTGAAGCTGCTTCAACAGGAGCTGGAGGCCATCAATGTCTCTGCTGATAAATCAGTGGAGCACAGTGAGGAGATGTTCACCCAGATGATCCGCCTGATCCGGAAGAGAAGCTCTGAGGTGAAGCAGCAGATCAGATCCCAGCAGGAGAAGGAAGTGAGTCGAGTCCAAGAGCTGGAGGAGAAGCTGCAACAGGAGATCAGTGATCTGAAGAGGAAAGACGCTGAGCTGAAGCAGCTCTCAGAGACACCAGATCACAGCCGGTTCCTCCACGACTACCCCTCAGTGTCAGCACTCAGTGAGTCCACACACTCATCCAGCATCAGCATCCGTCCTCGGAGACACTTTGAGGACGTGACGGCAGCTGTGAAGAAGAGCAGAGATCAACTACAGGACGTTCTGAGGGACGCATGGACAAACATCTCACTGGCCGTCACTGACGTGGATGTTTTACTACCAGAACCAGAACCAGAACCAACGACCAGAGTTGGATTCTTAAAGTATTCACAAGAAATCACTCTGGATCCAAACACAGCACACAGATATCTGTTATTATCTGATAGGAACAGAAAAGTGACATTAATGGGTAAACCTCAGTCGTATCCTGATCATCCAGACAGATTCACTGGCCATTGTCAGGTTCTGAGTAAAGAGAGTCTGACTGGACGTTGTTACTGGGAGGTGGAGATGAGAGGAGAACAAGCTGGTGTAGCAGTTTTATACAAGAACATCAGCAGAACAGAGAGGTCAGATGAATGTAAATTTGGACACAATGACAAATCCTGGTCTTTATATTGTTCCACCAACAGTTGTGTATTTTGGCACAATGATACTAAAACTCCTGTCTCAGTTCATCCTTCCTCCAGAGTAGGAGTTTACCTGGATCACAGAGCAGGTGTTCTGTCCTTCTACAGCGTCTCTGACACCATGACTCTCCTCCACAGAGTCCAGACCTCATTCACTCAGCTGCTACATGCTGGAGTTTGGCTTTGTAATGGTTCTGGATCCACTTCAGAGTTCATCAAACCTGAATAGACTGAAGTCTTTAAAGAGCAGCTGGTTAAAATGTTTGAGTTTCCAGCTGATTCAGTCTCATTGTACACTGTACAACACCACGATTAGTTTGAACTGTCATGTCTTTTTTTTGAACAATCAGCTGTTATTTTACAGATTTATATTCCTGATAATATCTACTTAGAGCACAGAAAGAAAGTTTTCATTTATATGTTGACTGTAAAAAAAAAATTCCGGTTTGACTGCATTTTTTTTTAGAAATCATGAATTGTTTTGCTGATATTTGATGTTATTTGAAAGCAAAGTTCTGTATATTAAGGATTGATTGATTAACAGGTTTTACTAAAATCACAGTAAAAAGTTATAATTTATGTATAATGCAAAAAAAAGTTTTAAAAAAGATGATTTTATGTAAAAAGATGGTTTTGTTTTGTTTGTTTTTTCATCTCATTGTATTTCCATGAATATGTTGGTTGTAAAAATCTTTGAAAGTTTTAAGTGTATTTTCCCAATTTTTAAAATTACATATAGTTTGGAGCCACTGTGACTACCGTACTTCCTTTTTTGCTGAAAACAGACGTTATTTTGAGGGCCTACACGTTGCTTGAAAACTCACCAAAATTTCCAGGCACATCAGGACTGGCGAAGAATGTGATATGTTAAAGGAATTGAGCATGTTAATGGTAAAATGGCTCCACAGCGCCCCCTACAAAGTCTTGTTGAAACTGGGTTTAAGCTAGAACTACAAAATTCGGTTTGCATATGTAGCAGGTCGGGACGTACAAAAAGTCCACCAGCGCCAAGCCCTAAACCCAACAGGAAGTCCACCATTTTCCAAAAGAGTTTGAGAATTTTGGCAATTTTCGCTCATTTTTGCCCTTTTTCGAAATGTATCTCCTCCTTGGGGGAACGTCTTAACACCTGAAACCTGGCCAGCACAAACTACAGGACGTGGGGATTAAAAGGCATTAAAATGTTCCCCAAAAGTCTGATGGTGTCAAAATGGCGGCCCGAATTCACCGAAACACCATAAAACGGGACATGCTGAGTAACTGGCCTGTACGTTCTCCGAGTCCCGGCCAGAGCGTGTTGCTGCCTCAGCTCGCCATCAAACAGGAAGTGGTGTCGAAATGGGCTGCACGTGCTCCGATCTGCTTGAAACTCAAAACGTTGGATCAAAGTTCGGCCAGAGCGCTTGTGCGCCAAACCCCAACGTGCACGACGGCCAACAATCATAAGGTGAGGACTCGACCATCGCTGCCTGCAGCTTTAACTGACATTCTTCTCCTTTCTGACAGGTTCTGTTGTAGTTTTCTGAATAAATAGGTGCAAAAGTCCTTCAGTTTCACGACTCAATAGCCAGCATCGACCTGTGGAGAGAAAACCTCCCCGTTCCCTTTTCAACATTAAATCTCATGCTTTG